TGCTGGATTCTCCCTTGTAGATTGCGATAAGTCCGTTTGGTTTATAGCAAGAGCCGGCTCAAACGGTGGTGGTGCTCTAGACGGGTATAAAATATGATTAGATGTTCCTACCGCTATATCTGAAGCTTCGCAGGTATTAGCGTAATCTTGACCTTCTTCTAACAAAACGGTATTGTTTTCATCACCATAGGGTGGAGGAGGAGCTAGTGAGCCCTGAATAGGGCCGAACCGCCATTTTTTAACATTTGCTTCAATAAAAACAAACCCAGATTGCCCAAAATTTACATTGACATTGCACTCTCCATTGGCACCAATTGTCGGAAATAAGTTACACTTGAGCCCGTGGATGGCCTCTTCAAGGCGTTTTCCGTTTCGCGTAAAAAATACAGTCCCTGTCCTAGGACGGTATCCCACGCCAACGACATCTCCTTGATAGAATTGGGGGCCATACGGTACACCAAAAAAAGGTTGGTTTATTCGCTTTTGGCCAGTAGAATCGTAGGCAACCGAGTATCTATGATACCCCGGTAAGCTAAACGCTGGATAAGGTTTCGTTGTTAATCCCACTGATATTAGAGATGACTCTGGTTTATCGTACATTTTGACTTCAAAGTAGTAGACATCATTATGTTTCGGAATAGGAAGATTGGCCTGGATCATAGTAACGCCATCCAAAAAATATATATCGGTCTTGCCTTCTACGAAGCAATTATTAATATGAGGGGAATTGTTTTTAAATTCCCAAGCCCAAACACCTCTTTCTTGAATATTCATGTATTGTGATAAGCTAATATCGGTGACTTCGCTAAGCGGTGGGTGAGCTCTAATAAAACCTCTGGCTTGAAAATAACGGTATCTTTCCATTTCCGTCATCTGGGGTAAGGCTGTCGTTTCAGGCTCTAGATCTGCTTCCTCGTCATCAAATTGCCCTGGCAAACCTTCTCCGTTCAAAACGATATTACCTTGTTCGGTGAATATTAGCCACAGCACACAACAAAGCAACCCGACTAAGAAGGTAACTATCCCAGATAAAAGACCAATCATCAATGGCGCACTGAAAATATGAGACATTATGCGTTGAAAATTCTTGAGCAAACTGATATTTGGTTTTTGAAATTGGCGATCGGATCTTAGTACCCGTGGCGGGCGGCGTGACATTATACTTCAGCTTTCAATTATCAATCACGGGTTTAGCTCTCTCCTGGCTGGTTTCAAAGTGGCGATCCCTATACGTATGTAATATTAGTATATATAAAGAAATCGAATGCTTACACTAAAGCTATGTTTTTATATTTACTAGTACCAATGTAATCTGATCGAAAGCGATGTATGTATCAAAAAGAGTTTTTTACAGAAACAAAGGTCTGATATTTTGGGAAATGAAATCCAATTCATCATTGTGAGGCTGAATATCAGACCCTCTTTGAAATGCAGTGACTTATCGCTGCCGCATTATCCGCTTTTTGTTTAGTCAGGACCCAGATTTGCCTTACTAAGAGTGGTGAAGATGATTTTTTATTAATTCACTGGCTGCGACAAATCAATATTTTAATATTTTAATATTTTAATATATTACGTGGACAAATTCTAGGCCGGCGTTCATGTACAGTGCTATGATTTATTACACTTTGGCGCATAAGTACGGCATCAAACGGCAACTTGGATTGCCCGACGGTAGAAAAAAGCCTACTTGGTATATCATTGATAAAAAAGAATGGTATTATCACACAACCTAAAAACCTAAGAGCTCATGGTCAACAACTAATGCAGTACCTTGAGATTTGTACTTTAGTTTAACCTAAACACGCAGCTAAATGGAAGCTCTTATAAAAGATTAATATCTGCATCATAGGGGAAATACCAAACCAAAAGACTTGAAAATAAACAAAGCAGTAATCGCATTCTGCCTATCACATTTTCTTCTGTTGCAACGTAAAAGAGCGTGGAAAAACTGTTTGAGAAAAAAATCGTTGTCAGATAAGGTTGAAAAATTAAATATTTGAATAAAACCTAATGTATTTGGTACAGCCATTAAATAGCCCTGCTTAAATAAATAAAATACAATAAGAAAAATGAGAGGTTTAGAAATTTTCAAAAATACTTGATCAGAAATTTGGGTATATTTGAAACCACATGACAGAGTAGTAGCTCTTTCAGGAATTTTAAATCGAAATTGTATCTTCATACAAGTAGTGAATCCTCAATGAATAACAGGTTATAGTAGACCCTGAGTTCATGTTGGACAATGGGTTTAGAGCCTCCTACCGGAATTGAACCAGTGATCTTCGCATTACAAGTGCGACGCCTTAGCCACTTGGCCAAGGAGGCTACTCCGTTTTTTTTTAAAAAAATCTATATTGTAGATGATTTGGGGACCAAAATTTATTATCTCTGTTCAACTCACTATTGATTTAGGTTATACAATTGACGTATGAGCATTTGAAACTTATAATTGAAATACGGTATATGACCGGTGTTATATATATTAATATATATACGAACGCATCTCTAACTTTTTTCCTTGTTATAATGTATTCAAGGGTTTTCTGGGTAAAACTTTATGTATTCGCAACAAAAGAAAATTCTTGTCTTTTAGTCTAAGTGGATTTCTTTTTTTGTGCTTTTCCCTTAGCTTTCTTTGATGACTTATTCAGCTTTTTATCGTTCTTGTCGTTAACTTCTGAATCGCTAAAAGACCAAATGTCTTTAATCTCATTTCGGAAATATCCAGTGATCAGGGTGGATGATGCAATAGCAGGACAGAGGTAGAGTAAAGCAGGCTGAGCAGCCTTAAACGTATGCATGATGAAAATAGTTAAGCCTAGACCAAAGATATAAGCCAGCATGCCAAAGTTAAAATAAGGTTTGGGGAACTTTCTTGCAAGAGAATAGGGAAGATCTTGATTGTTCTTGTAGAACATAAAACTGTCAAAACGAAGGCATAACGATAAGAAAAACGCCGGGACAACAATATCGCCTAATCCAAGCATGGCCATGCTTTTCGCAGGATCAGTTACATTGATTCTAGGGACTGATAACTTGATGGGCGCGTCTATTTTAGTTGCCACGGTTATCATGACATCGGTGCCAAAAACAAAGAAGATATCATAGAAAAATAGGCCGGCAAGCATAATGAAAGCTGTTCTAAATGTATCCAATTTCAGCATTCTAATACCAGTCACAGCAACACTAGTACCAAGAATATTTCCAAAAACCCAATGATCGGTTTTCCAATATAAGTAAGATAGTACAATTGCAAAAGGGAACCCAAGAACTTCACCCAGAGAAAAGTTAAAGTTCATATACTGGTCAGGCGTTTCAATAACAGGAGCCAATTTAGCAGAAATCTCTTCAGGTGTTGGTTGATTTTCTTCCGCAAATTCAGTGTCAGAAACCTCCTTATTGCTATCTATTGCTAATTTAGCCGCCTTTTTCTTCTTCCTTTCGATTAAACTGGCTCTGACCTTCTTTTCCAGTTCAACATCAATATTAGAAACTAGTCCAAAAGGCTGATTAGTATTATCTTTGGCAAGACACCATCTCCAATGAGGAAGCGAAGCATTAAAGATGATTCTTAGTAACCCTTTGAGAAAAATTGAAAATGTGGCCGCAGCGGAAAATGTTCCTGTAAAAAGAAAATAAGACTTAAAAATAAACTGAATGTTATCAACGGTATAGTATTTCATAGCATAGTACATTGAAGTTAATGCAATACCACCCATAATTGGCATCATATAGGCTTCATTTTCGCTTATCATTCTATCGTCTGTGATCACTTCTTCCAAATCAGAGGGGTGGAACAGAGGAGAGGACGGATCAGGTTTCAGAGCATTTTTTGGTTTCTGTAAAGTGGCCAAAGAAGCAAAATAAATAATTGAGATAGCTGAAATCAGAATAGTGGCATATGTGACCCAAATAGTATCTATAGGTAACGATTCAACACACTCTACGAACGTGTTTTGAACTATGGTGGTGTAAGGAGTGACGTATTTATCCAAATAAGGGACAAGTTTATCCAAGTAAACTTGCAGGTATGAATCAATCAGCTCTAATGGTGTAGTTAATGTAATGGCTCCCTTGATATCTTCCAAAGTAGGGTAGGCTGCCTTCTCAATTAAAGGGTCAAATACAGTTTCCATGATAGCGACTTATTCAAACTGTGAAAGCTGTTGATAATAGTTGATTTTCGGTACGATCTAGTGGAACGTTGTGAATTCCTAATGGATGTTTTACTTCTAAAAATTGATCTGAAGCTTCAAAAAAAACTTATATATATAATTCACGAAATACACCAATACAGTTAGGGAGAGACCTGCGACTTATGAGGCAAACAGGAGCGTAGCTTTTAAAAACTGAAGATAAAGGGCATCAGAGGTTAACAGCGAAGACCTCCCAACGGATTTTTATCTATATGTGGCTAAAAGGAACTCGCAGAAAACAAAATAGAGTTTTTGTTTCCCAGTCGGACTTTATTCATCATGAATAGCAAATTTTCGCCTATAATGAGAGAAAGTTTTGACTGATCTTCGAAATAAATATATACTCAAATACAGAATTGGTCGGGTATTTTAATGAAACTTGTTTTTAAGTGCACATGGTAAAAATCATATTTACAATGGGGAGGTCGAAGAAACTTAATGATGTGTACAAAAGCAACAACGGATTTAACAAATTTTTGGGCTCTACCGTTTCTTACTTTTCTTTTTGAACTACATTTGATTCTGCCCTAAATACAAATATACAATTGTTTTTATTATAGCTGAACTCTTTTTGAATATTTATACCGGTAATTGGGATTCAAATATGAGAGTCTTGGAAATACAAATCAAACAAGAAAAAAAGGAAAGATACACACTTTTCTAATCCAGTGCGACCAAAAAATAAAATTAAACAAAAGGAACCAGGCCAAAAGCCAAACGAAAAGAACAACTGCCAAAAATCTAAAAACTTTTCTCGAAATATTGATTTCAATAAAAAACAGACTTTTCGCACAAAAACGTTGCTCCCTGGGAGGTTCGAACTCTCGACCTTCAGATAACTTGAGGTATTAGCCTATGAGACTGACGCTCTACCAACTGAGCTAAAGGAGCTGTTTGTTGCTTTTCGTATTTATTAATAAACTCAGATAAAGATTTCTGTGCAATTTTCAAAAAAAACAATTTTTTTTCTTGCCCAGAAATAGGTTGATCTTAATTAAATTATTATTTTAGTTTTTTACGTTTTAACAAAATTAGAAATCGTTATTTTTGATTTTGTAATTGGCTGTTTGTATTAATTGTTATGTAAATAATTGTTGTTTTGAAAGGTATAATTTTTCTTTTGGGGATAACTGACGTTGAAAAAAATAACCTTAAAAAAAAAGAATAATTTAAATCATTTTTTGGCAAATTGCAGAAAAAGAAATTAAAAAAAAATTAAACCAAACAACATTCTTTATATTTCCTAAAAACTGGACCTCTGAAAAAAACCATGATTTATACTCATATTTGTCAAAATGAGTAGTTATTCAACCCGTAAGCTCGTATGGCGCAATGGTAGCGCGTGGGATTGCAAGTCTTGAGGTTGTCGGTTCGATCCCGGCTGTGAGCTTTTTTTGAAACTCATGGATTCTAGTTTAGAAAGTTTGATATTCCTTTTAGTGTAATATATACATACAGATCGTAGCTGTCGAAGCAGATTTTATGACCGAAAACCTGCTTAACCGCGATTGTCATAATACACCACCTTTTTCTGAGAATGGAAAAAGGCTTCAACCAAAAGTGAGAAAGAGCAAGTTGCTAACAGACACCCGCGTATATATCACCAAAACTGAAACAAAAAAAAGTAAAACCCCCTGAAATATTGTTTTCTCTTTAAAAACCAGGGGAAAAGGGCAGATTGCGTGTGTTACATTTAATCAATACAGCTTATTGAAGTTAAATAATTCAACAATAAAGATAAATAATAAGAGAAAAGGAGTAATAAAAGTGTATTTAGTTTAAAATTAGAAACTATAGAAATTAATACGCGAGATTCAAAGAAGATTGTATTTACCAGTATACATAGAATCAGAATCATCATCATGCGAGTTATAATTATCAGAGAAAAGTGATCCGCGGCGCTTATTAAGCCCAGATTCCGAACAGTCATACGAAACGTCACCGTCAGTGGTGAGCCTTTGAAGAACTTCAGCAACACCTCTTTGAAGGCGACGTTGCATTGCTTCAGGAAGTGTGGCAAAATCATCAGTATTTTCGAGAATACCAGCCATATCATCGTAAGAATCGGTACACGATTTCAATTCAGACAAGAGAATCTTTGCGTCCCGCATAGTCAAAACATATTGTTCTGCCATTTGCCGCATATAGCATCGCAAAGTTCTTGCACTAATCGATACCCTATTAAAGGCTGTTCCAATTTTGGGAGACTGCCCAGCCCTAGTTGGGCCACCTCCATGGTGACCGGACTGTAAATTTGAATGGTCAATTAGGGATTCAGCCGTGTAGGATCGAGGTTCTTCCTTGAAACCAGTATGCTTATTGAAATCTACCGAATTAGGGGCTAGATCAATATCTGTTTCCTTTGGGCAGTAATAACACTTATGAAAGAGATTATCTTGAGAAACACTACGAACGTCAGCCAATGGTAGACTTTCGTTTTTGATCTGTGACTTAATGTCGGTAACGTCAGATTTAAGTTTAAGACTATTAATTGAGCTAGAAGATATATCCTCCCCTTTGGGCCTATTGAGCTGAAGATTTACGCGAATAAGCAGCTCTGCATTATTAGTATTTTCATCCATTTTAGTCTGTAGGTCAATTAGGTCCCCATTTGCTTCTCCAGGGGTCACTGCAAGCTTTTTAAGATCTTCGGTTATTTTAGTGGATAGCACAGGGGAAGAATCTCTATCGACCGTTTTTGACTCCTGAGAAACATCAAGGGAAACAGGTGATGTAGATGAACCATCCGCTATGGTCCTTTGAGAATGGTTGGAAGAATCTCTGTTTTTCGATGATGTGTGTTTTTGTCGTGAATAATCGATAACATCATCATCAGATAGAGATTCTTCATCAGTGTGTATTGAATTATCTAGATCAACAGTTTTTTTTCTTAAATTTGAGCGATTAGCTTGGGATGGATTTTCAGGTAAGGATTCCGAATCTTCATCAGTCGTCGGTTTTAAGAGAGCTGGTTTCTTTTTTGAGGATGATTTGCTTGAATTATTGGACTTTCCATAGGATATAGAAACACCCTCCGAATCATCATCAGTTTCAGGCGTCGAGTGAATTAGCTTCTTTTTTGCGTGTGATTTTTTTGAACTACCCTTAGACGATCGCGATACTACAGGAGTAAAAGTAACTTCATCTGCATCTTCATCAGTTTCAGATGTCAGGTGAATTAGCTTCTTTTTTGAGTGTAGCTTTTTTGAAGTGCCTTTAGACGACCGTGGTTTACCATCGGTTGTCGAGTACACATGAACTAGTTTCTTTTTTGATAGTGATTTGTTCGGGTTACCGTTGGATGATCGTGATTTGATAGGGTCAGGAATAGCGGCCTCAGCTTCTTCGTCAATTTCTGAGTCAGAAGAAACTAATTTCTTTTTCGAGGTTAGTTTTTTCTGACGGCCATAGGATGATGGAACCGCTTTTAAATTCTGAAACTCTTCATCAGTTGTCGACTCCACCAATACTTGGGGGTTTTCAGGGCCTCTTTGAGAAGATTTAGATAGCTTGGTAAAATCATGGACATTGTTTTCATTATCATCAAGAATTAGGGATCTATCATTCCAGGATTTAGTTATATCTAAAATCTGCTGCTTTGCCTTCCCCACAACCTTACTATCATAATCTTGATGATTAACTTGGCCCTGTTTAATAGCTGTTTTCTTGGTGACTGAGACACCGTAAATCTTTGCTTGTTTTCTGAGGAAGTCGCGTTCAATTTCAAGTAGGTCAATAGCATCTCGCAACTCACGAGGAATCTCATCAGTCTTGACATTATCGACTTGCAATTTACCATGCCCGTTTTTAACATCCTTATACCAGTTTACTAACTGAGAATGAAGACCTTCAAACTTATTTTCAATAGCATGTAGTTCAGAATTAATTGCTGCTGCATCAGTTAGTGTCTCATAATATCGAAGTGTTTGTAGAAGCCCAACTTCGTTAGCCTTAATATTATCCAAATTTTGCATTTTATGAGTTAAATTGTTAAGCGCGCTGAGCACAAGCTCATCTGATTCGTCCATAGGAACACTAGCGATATTAGGATACCGTTTGTTGTAAGCAGCCACCCGGGGATGCGTTTTGTAACGAGGTATATATGCATTTCCCACTGGACCCGTGATGGTGGGCTCGAAGGTATCGGATGAAGGGGCAAAGTCGCTCAAGGATGGTTTTGAGGGTGTTTTAGAAACAGCCGAGCGAGATGGAGGTTGGTATGCGCGAGCTGTCGGCCTTTCAAAATTTCCGGTAGTTCCATTAAATTTTGGCCTATCCTGATCCTTTAGGTACGGATTATTATTACGATTATTATTGTAAACATCTTGCCGAGGCTGGGTAGTTTGTTGGTTTCGCTCCCGTCTAGCCTGTTCATTACGCATGATTTCCTCAGCCTTTTTCATAGAGGACTCATGAATACGACGTCGTTCTTCTTTGAATTGAAAGTAGCGGGTTTTTCTAGGGTCGATATTCAACTCATCAAAAAATGAATCTTCGTCCCGGTAAACCTTGGGAATCTTGCCGTTCCACGTACCGTCATTATCATTGTCATTGCGGTATTGATTAACACCACCGTACTTTCGATCATTGAGCGACCTGTTTTTATAGTTGCCTTGATTGTTCCTATTAAAGGGATCAGCCGACAAGGGCATTTCCGGTTTACTCCGTGACTTTTGCAAATAGTCGCGTCCCTGTTGCTCTTTGTACAAGTTGGCTATACTGGCGTTTAGTTGACGGGTATTCGGGTAGCCCACGGGCTCGTTTTGGTTATTCCAGTTGTATTTGTTAGTACCAATATCCGGATAGCTGGCAGAAACTTTTTGAGGAGATGAAGGCTGTGAAGAGAGGTAACCAGGCCTAGCGGTATAATTGTTGACTGAATAGGCATTATTAGTATTTGAGTCTGCATTAGCGATGTTGTTGTTATTCTGATAGAGGCCAGCTCGGTTGGAATCTGAGTTGCGTTGGCTGAAATTGGGGTTGTATTCCAGAATATTAGCATCCAAATCACCTCGTTCGTTATTAGGATGCTCATATGGCGTGTAGGGCTTGCTTCGAACATACTCGATACTCTCATCGGAGCGCGGTGACAGCGTTGGACCCAGGGGCGGAGTGTTTTCTCTGCTGAAACCGTGAAAATCGTTCTGTGAGAAAGACAGATCAGACGAGTCGAAATTGTGGTTGGATTCGAATTTATTAGTGTTTGAAGGGGGTTTTGGTCCATGGTAATAGCCTTTAGAAGCAAAGTCGCTGTCGTCGTCTGACGAGTCCAGAGAAGCTCTTTGGGCATTTTTTGGCCATATACTATAATCGAATCTCGTCATGGTAGACCTCAAATGAGACTGGGCGCTAATATATGAATCTATGTACGGTGACCTAGCTTTTGAGGGAGGTCAAGGGGCAAACTGTAAAACAGTAGCTATTGGATGAGAATGGTAGTATAAATAATATAGAAGAGAGTACCAGAAAGAATATTACAGATTGCCGGGGAATCCAACATGAATGAATGATTCGTGGGCTGCTACAGGCGTCTAGGCGGTGGTGAAGATTGGGGGGGGGGGGGTTCAGGGAATGATCGCGATGGGACTTTTTCATGCATCCCAACGCGACAGAATTTGAGAGCGAGTTGAAACAATCGAGAAGCAAAAACAAAACCGCTAAACGGCTGAGAACGGGTCCAGTTAACCTGCGGTAGTCGTCTACGGAAACCCGAAAGCCTGTAGACTAGGAATACAACTTCCAGAGCGGCCCGGATGCGGTACAAGGACAAGACAGAGGTCCACTGCTCTCAAAGTGTCTAAAGTACAGGCCAATCTGGGAGTTTTGCTTTGATGGATGGGTATGAAAAAGGACATCGTAATAGAGCAGAGTAAAGAGTAAAACAAGTGGTT